TTGTTTGCAAGGCTAATCGCGCTAGAGGAGTATTCTATAGGTGCAACTCGTCTCAGCCTAACCAATCCCTCTTAAAGTCAGCGAAAACCAGACCCATACAAGGAGCACATGGCATGCCAAAGGCTACCCGGCTTAGCGCAGGATGCGCAAATGGGTACTCTTTAATAAAGAGAATTGGTCCCGACGAGGGATCAGGGTCACATTGCCGTATCGAGTCTACCCTAAGCTAACCCCATCTAGGCTCGAGTGCCGTGCAGGAAAGGTTGAGGCAAACCCATTCGAAAATTCATGCATAACTGTCATGTGAAGATGAAAGGCCTAATTACTGTGATTAACCCCTTTTTGAAGGGACTGACAAGATGGTGCAATGGAGAAGAATGATGAGGTCAGGCCACTATGCGTGAGGAGAGGAAGACTTAACTATGTACAGAGTGTCCCAAAAGTCAGGACACATGGGGACTTAGCCTTACTAATACATATACTGTTAAGCGTACTTTTAAGTACACTTTGCTATGCATTACATTTCAAACTTAACATTTTTGCAAAATAGTCATTCAATATGAATCAATTGAATATCAAAATGGGGACATTAGTGCAGGCAATTGACTAGACTCACGAAAACCCCGTGTCCTGACTTTTGGGACACCTTGTACATCAGGAGGGCAGGATGCAAATGTGGAAATTGCATCTTATTGAAAATATTTGTTGAGAGTCCATGAGTCTCAAAAGAAGAAAAAAATACGAACAACTACTTTCTTCATTTCTCTGAGAATGACTTTTTTGAAGGATGTGCAGTGGGAAAGCATTCCATAGCCGCGTGATACCCAAGCATCATCTGCTCACAATCTGCCATCTTGGAGAGGGATGTCAGATAACTTGCATTTAGTACGGGTTTCTTATATAATAACTATAAGTATGGCTAGTTATCACTTTTTTGTAAATATTAATATAGAAAATAATTTTACCAATATGCTAGCAAAAATCGTTGAGATGACTACTCCCTGTATTAAAAATGAAAATTCATCTTTCACAAATGTAACTCAGGCATTACGAGGATTGCAGCATCAGACCCGAATATAGCCAAAGCGAAGCAAGCCCACCTATGCCTGCACAGGATGGGTAAGCCAGTTTGTCTCATAGAAGAGTAGATGAGACCTGAGGTAAATCTGTCAGCGGTGAACAAAAAAGTGTCAAATGCAGAACCCAAGAAGAACCCAAGGGAGAAATAAAATGGATTGCCTGAAGGTTACAGAGAGGAGGAAGAAATAAAGAAGAGGAATTATATGGTAATATATCCTCGCAGTCCTCTCCACCCTTCTAACAATATAGCGAGTCATTCCCTGGCGGTAATTCCTACTACTTTTCAAGCTGTACGCGATCTTTCCCACAGACAACTCCCGGGAATGCACTGAAATTTGGGATTTCTCTAAATATTTGTCTAAACAAGTAACCCAGCCTGACAACTTTTGAAGAAGGAGGATACAATTGAGGACATGGCACCACGGACTCTGGATACACAGCAAAGTAGAAACGTACAAGGAGAGGTACAAATGTGAGAGGTACATATTGTGTCCCTCGGGTCCTCTTGTGTGGTCCAGACGTACACATGTGTACGTTGCAGACGCAGATGTCCGGATTCTCAATGCAATACTCAATGCAAATCGGCATAAGATGGCGATTATGTTCCCCCAAACTTTCGAAGTCGAGTCGGGACGCACCGGACCTTAGGAGAAGAATTTTCTTCCTATCCCTGTATTCATCTTATCATGATACTTGCAAAGCAGTATTTGGTAAAAGAATAGTTATCATGTTTCAAAGCCAATCAATGATTCTGGAAAATTGTAAACGCTGGGGTTTTGTACGGGAACAGAGAAGTATGAACCAACAGGTTACGAGTTTTTTCTCTGAAGAATAAGCGGCCAACTTTAAATAAACTTGAAAGATTGTCCCTGTAACAACAGGGTGGTCTGGTAACCTACTGGCCCCATGATAATTGGAAAAGACACTGTTCATGAGACAGTCGGCACGTCCAGTGCGAAATGGAGACGCTGTCCGCGTGTTATCAGTGACAGCTCGCTGCCTGTCAGAGACGGGGTGCCGGATGATGGTGCCATTAAAGCTCTCTTCAAAGCTGATAATTGAGGCTCATAAGCAGGTTTTTAAACGCCCCTAAGCCCGAAATGAATAGAGATAAGAAAGGTACACATGTGTACCTTCATTGCCACGGGTACCTTTTCAACGAACGGATTTTACGACATGCGTTTGTACCTCATAACGTACAACATATGTACCTCACTGTACGTTTCTGCTTTGCTGTGTACCGCTAATGAAGGTTATCATTCAGGACTCAGTTTTAAGCAGGATCGGCGATGTTCTGGGAAAATCCCAGGATGTTACTCATACTGAGCGGGTTAGGATGAGTAACATCCCAGAGAGTTTAGAAGGCGGAACCCATTTGAGCCTCGACATGTGCCGTCATGCATGTATGACGGCATGCATGACAACCTGGAAGGCATCCAGAGACAGAGTCGAGAAGTGTTCCACCCTGCCGAATCCACCTGGAACGGGATATCGCAGGTGGATAACACCCACCCTGCCCTTGGAGCCTTTTTTTCCCTCCCTGACAGCCTCGACGTGATCAAGGTCAGACAGAAAGCGGAAATTTTACTCTGAGGCATTACCTCAAGGACCGCTGCATGCATCCAGCAAAATGCGCATGGTCCAAATGCTTCGACGCGGCGGCGCAAGTGCTACCGTAAAAATGGAAGCAATGCCGTACAATGACAAAACGACATGCAGGTTCGAGTCGGCGAAGGGGCAACCCGACCTCCGCGTCGGCTAGGATCGAAATACGTCGCAAATAGCGTGCATCGCAAGTCTGGGTGGAAAAAATAAAGGAAAGTACGAAAAACGACTGCGAAGAACGAAGGTCGGAATCGACACCTTTCAGTCGACCTCGAGCAAAATATGACGGCGCAGGTTTTAAGGGAAGAGAGAAAAGTCAGCATCAGCAGAAAAGCGTCTTTTCGTTCGTCCAAAATTTGCATTCGCCGCGGATAAAACGCGAATGTGCAAAATGCGACTGGGAGGGGGAGGTGTTGCCGAATGACTAACGAAGAACGGCACGATGAAAGCTTTTTCATACTTGTCACCAGGCCAAGCTGTCATAGGAGGAAGAAAAAAAGGCGGCGGCCAAAAATGCCTCCGCAGCAAAACGAGGATTCAGAGGCCTGTCTCCTCTCGTTATAGATCGGACATGTGCACTCCATCACGGGACTCCATCACGGGACACGTGACGGTCCCGACGCAGGTGGCGATGACAGTCTCCCCGAGTGATGAGTTATTTAAAAACGGTTTCATCCCTGTCGGATCTCGGGTTGCGCCTTCGAAGACCTGCACCACGTGCGCCGCTCTCACGGGCTGAGGGGGTTTCGTGCCAGTCGGGTTTTAGGGCCAGAGTCGATTAGAACGATGCTGCGGATTTCGTTTAAAGTCGTGCCAGAGTGGAAGAGCTGGCAATAAAAGGATTAAAAATGTATTTCGCTTGAACGTGTTTATCTTCTCACTTTAATCCTGGCACTCTGGCAGTATAAGGATTAACCGAGGTTATTATAGGGCATCGCAGCTCCTTAGACGTTAACTGGGGAAGGAACTAAAGCGGAAGATGTTCTGGATTCTGTCCCTATTTCGCTTTAATGAAGACAGAGAGTTACTGCATTCCAGACATTCAATACAATAAAATTAAATTCCGGGCATTCTATAATGCTTCCCCTTCCATCAAGTTTCGTGATCCTCAGTCTCCTCCCTCATATTTGAAACATGCACGAGACTCGAGCGAATTATTGCGAATCGACGAACGAACGATCGTGACGACGGCGGCGGGACGACTCGAGAGACGGCCACTTCGTTCGGGGTTACGATGGCCATACGATGGCCTTACGATGGCCATTCCTCGAACAATAAGATGATCGATGAAGCGATAGTCCTTTGGCTTGGCTTCCCGGCAAAGAGACGTTCTCAAGGGCTATTTGAGGAATCTTCAGCGGGGAAGAGACGTCAAAGATGAAATGCCGTCAAATACCAACTGCTGAGTTGCTTTTTTTCCCTCTTCGTCGTCAGAACAGGTCGCTGTTATATCAGCAGCCCTGAAGATCAGAAAGTGGATTATTGGCCTGAGAGATGAAAGGGCAATCCGACAACCCTGTCCATGCGAGGTGTCTCGGAACAGGTCATGCGGCAGTTTCCTCAGATCTTCCCCTTAATGCAACTGATGAATGAGGCTATTAAAGGGATTAGCCTTTCCCCTTCTGCCGTCAAGTGCTTCCCAGAAATGGGCTTTTTCCCTGATGCATGGACTATATATAGCAGTTACATTGGCTTTCCCCCCCCTCATTTTCTCGCTTTTTTTTCCCCATTTCCTCCTCATTTTTTGCTCGGACCAAACTGACAAGTATTTCCTTCTGGCATTTTCTCTCGATTCTGCTTCACGTTTTTCCTGGATTAGATGCTTTTTTTTTCGTCGTCAGGAAAGAATTGCAGGCCTTGGTCTCTCGTTCTTCGCGATTTTCATCGTCACGAGGGCTTCATCTGCAATCAGATAGTCAAGAATTGCGACATGCTGTCAACGCCTTCTAAGAAATGCGAAATTTTCTGTATCGTCCAAATGACTTCCGGTGATTTTCTTCGAAAATCCGATCCTCGTCATGATGATGCCCAAGCGCGGTTATGGCTCACGACATTGGTTTTCTCTTAATCTCTGGTTCTAATCCCTAGTCACTATTTCCATTATTGGTAAGTGAAGGAAACAGGATTGTCGCCAAATGAAGACGTTGCCCTCAAATTTTCGGATCCTACTGAAATGGGAAGAAAACGTGGGCCAATGTCTTCATCGGCCATCCTGAGGTCCCGAAGGGGGTCCCAAACACGAAAGTAGCATAAAGGTAACATAACAGTTACATGTCAGTAATATGAGGGCATATTTGATGGCGACTCGCTATTACATGCTGTGATCCGTCCCAGCCGGCCTTCTGTGGATCCTCAATGTTGGCAATGGCCTTCTTGCCGTTCGCTCTCTGGCGTGCAACCAAGGACCCAGTGAAAACGGGGCCATCGCGATGCCGATATGACAAGGACGTCTGAGAGTTCTGTTGTTCTGTCTGAGGATGAAGCCTGAAACGCTGAGGACGGCTTCAATTCATCTTCACTTTCTCGAGAAACGTGAAGCAGAATCACTCGATCCTTTTCCTTTTTGTTTTGATCGCAGAGCCAAAGGAAAAAATGGTCAATTTCTTGCTGAACTGTTGTTCCCACTGCGACTGCCAATATGCTCGAGCTGCAATTTTATAATTTAATCTCAGAGAGGAACGGAGTCAGTCGCCCGGCTTCCACCTGAAAGGTCGACTGGGCAGCCGAGAAACCTTCAGCGCCAGCTTCGCGGACTCCGACATCTTCGGCAGCCGGGACGAGGACGACGACGTTTCCGCGGGCTGCCCGGGGTCCTTCTCCCGCGGGAGCAGCTCCAGGTATTCCTTCAGCTCCGAGCTGACCTCGGGTGAGCGCGACCTCTGACCTCGACGTGACCCCCGGACCTGCCGTTTCGCGAGCACTCCCTCGTCCCGCAGAGATGGAGGAGGCGTTCGAGCAGCTGGGTCAGTGGCTGGAGGCGTCGAAGGCCGAGGACAAGGAGGTCTGCGAGGGGATGAGCGAGGACCTGCAACGACGGGGGAACGAGGCGGGGCTCAAGAGGACGATGAGCGACTCCCTCGCCGCCCTGCCTGGAACCCGCGACTCGGGTGGCGAATCATTCCACAGGTCGTTTGAACGGCTTTCGGCGAAAAAAAGTGGATGATCGTGGATTTGGCCTTTCTGGACGACTCCCTCGGACCCTTTCAGGTCTTCGAGCATGAAAGAAAGGGGAGATTCGTGGAAAGCCGACGAGGGAGAACCCTGCCAACTCGGACCCGGCGCTTCGCATCTGCCTGCCTTCAGGCAACAGGTAAGAGAATCTCGTCGTTCACTTTGGAATCTCGTGAATTTTCGATCGTCCAAATTTCCGCTCGAAAAAAAAGGGACGAGAGGACGAAGCACCCTTCCTTCTGGATCGCCGAGAGCCACGAAACATTTTTTCGTTAGCGAAAGAAAATCGGGTAACAGGCTGAGTTCCTTTGAAAGAACGTTTGTTCCAACAACTAGCTTATGGAAAATGGACCAGGCCGTCGGAGAGCCTTCTCTCACTTCCTCCCGTAGTCAAGCACTATCTTATTCCCTCCCTCCGCCACATGTGGGTTTTCCTGAATTAATGGTTGCTAAAATAAAAATAATATGGACAGTTGGATTGAGGTCAGAAATCAGACGAATAGTATTTGATTTTTAAAAAGTGATGAAGTTGTTGAAGTTTAAAAAGTGATGAGTGAGAACTGCGATGTTTCTCAACCTTATCTGAAACCGATGCGAGAGATCACGGGGCCCGCTATAATCAATTGTGATTATATTGACGCATATATTGACGCATAACGGTCTATACCGCGACGGCAACATCCGCGAAAAGGTGAAAGTAAAGAGAGGAGATGAATGAAGATGTGAGCGCACCCTTCCAGGCTCGAATCCCCGCGAATCACGTAACGAAAATTCACCGGTTGAAAACGAAGCGAGAGAAGAGGACTTCCCGGAGAATCGAAGCGTCGACGGACTCGGAAGAGTGCTACCCGCGGAGCACCCCACCGGACTCCTCCTCCTCCTGGGACATCCCCAGCGAGGAGCAGAGCGTGGACCGGGGCGTGGTGGACAGCTTCAGCTTCACCCTGGCGGAGGAGGTCCTGCTGGCGGCGGCGGGGGAGGCGTGTCGGTCGGAGCGACTCGCCCTCCCGGCCGTGCCGCTTCGGGGGATCCTCAAGAAGCCGTCGGTCGCGTCCGGGGCGGGGCGGTCCTGCGTCCGTTTCTGTCTTCGGGACCGGAGTGAGAACCACGTCGTGAGTGGGAATGTCAGCGAGTTTAGGTGTTGTGCCCGCTTGCATTATCGTCGTCGCTCTTTCTTCCTCTGCTCGGTTTCTCTTCCTCCGTCCGGTGTCAGCCTAAAAAATTCGGTCGGTCTGTGGAAACGCCGAACGCATTTTATAACGATATCCGTGGGATTCCTAAAAAGAATGAATGATTATTCGAATGAATGGGTGCATGACTGAATGAGAATCCATTCTAATAAGTCGTGACAATTATAATCCAGGTTGATCGGCAGGTTTCGATTCCGGCCAGAGCCGTCGTCTCTGGCCTCGCGTCCTTTCTCATTTTCAGTGTTATATCTGTGAAAGTGTTTTCTGTCCCACAAAGACTTGGTTCCGTTCGTCCATCTACGGGGTGTTTCACGAATTGCGTTGCACGCTAGGGTCGCCCTAGCAACTTTGAGCTTCGCCATGGCAATCCTGAGCTTTACCTCAGAGTTATGGAGGAAGAGTCTCTTGAAGGAGTATTCCCAAGTAGCACAAGAACGTTGAGGAAGACGCTCAACCCCGGCTCAAAGGCTCAAAACTCATTTCCAAATGAGTTTTGGAATTCCAATTACTGTGGAATAATTTATGTGATTGGCAATGACCCCTATCACGGGAGCAGATCTTGGGGCGAAATCAACCCTTTTACGCTGTTTGGGGATATTCATTGTACGTCCTGGATGAACGTTGAGGGAACGCATAATTTGAACTGTTTTGAATCGCTCTAAATCCCGGACATTTTAACAGTCAAGGAACGTTCCCGAGGACATTCATGGAAAGTTGGCAACGCATTGAATGAAACGTTCGTTGAACATTCATTAAACGCTCCGGGGCTACTTGGGTTGCGTCTGTATAGACAGATTCGGGAAAATTTTCAAAACGCCGATGCGTGGAAGCTTGGAATAAGTAGGAAACTTAGTCGAGGCTTCGGTGGTTTTCATGCATGATTTCTGGACTCGACGCCAGGGACGGTTTCCGGAAACGAGCGACTCGGATCGTCGAAACACCCTGTGGATTATCTGCATGGTCGTTGGTCTCCATGTGAATCGCTTTTCCGTCTCGTCTTGATGTCGTTCTTCCTCTGAGTTCACTTTCGCGCGGTTCGCGAACCCCGCGGGATCGGCGGAACGGGACGGGGGAAGAACAACTAATGAGAGTGCTTTCGTTTTTTTTTTTTTTTGGGGGGGGGGGGGGGCCAGAATGTCCTCGGGAACGTTCCTTGACTGTTAAAATGTCCGGGATTTAGAGCGATTCAAAACAGTTCAAATTATGCGTTCCCTCAACGTTCATCCAGGACGTACAATGAATATCCCCAAACTGCGGATACGTGCGAGGCGCAGCCACGAGATAATTTTTGTCGATTGCGAATTCATAGTCGTTTCTTTGCGATTTTACTGTCGTTTCTTCGCGATACCGCGTCACGTTCTGTTGTGATGCGTGACGGTTAGAATGATGGCAGGAACCCAGAAAATATTCCCGGATCCGGCAAACCAAACATCTCTATCTGGTCTCAACGGGGACTCTCGCTAAAAGAAAATAATCAGTGCCACAAACAGGCATTTTGCACATTGGAGCAAGTTTTGCGTTTCGACCTGCAGCGACAGAAGAGAATCAAAACTGGAAAAAGTGAGCGAATTCTATCATCCATTTTAAGGGAGAGAAGATATGGTTTCCCCATTTTTCTCCCCTCATCGTCTAAAAGGAAGCAGACAAATTGATCACACAATTTGAACGGATTTTCAGAAAATTGTTTGAAAGTGTGAGACGTGGAAGGCGAACTGCGCGGCGTTTGGCATGCTACCAGACGAATGAGACTTTCTTTCGGAATCCTCCATCGTTTAAACAAGAATCTTCCGCAATATTTTTTTTATGGATGTCCCAAAAATTCTTGGAAATTGTGGGGAATTACGAAATCGAATATGGAACAGTCGTAATTCTAAGACTGCCTTTGGTAACCTTTGAAAATGTTTCTTATCGAGCCCAGAGCGAACGTGAAAGCGAGAAGCCTAAGCGCGCGGGGGAGGGGGGGGAGTGGATGGATGGTCGCCTGCTGCGTCGGGTGCCTTCCCTTCTTCTTTCGCCTCTGATGGAACGAATTCCCCCGGGGACTGGGCGCGAAAAGATTTCCTTCCTGTCGAAAATGGTGAAATTCTCTGGTCTGAGACAGACCCTGTTCTCTCGTGTCGACTTTTCTGGACTTTGTCGGGATTTCAGTTTCCATCCTGCAAAGCTGGAGGGGAGAAGATTCTCCCGCTCACACGGGAGAATTCTCTTACAAACTTGTAGTCATTATTAACTAGGACTGGGCGATATGGATTTTTAAAGTAACGATATCGCCGACCTTTATATCGCCCGATATCGCGATATCGCCAGGGTTCAATCGGGGGGGGGGGGGGATGAATGCACGACATCATTATGGTTCGTTGTTCAAAGTTAAGATAGAAATCATATCGAAGATCTCTGTCGCAAAACATTCACGATGTTCGTTTGCGAAAAATCCTTATCTCGGAAAGAGTCGCTCACACGGGACGAAAGTTCCGCGAATTCGCAGGCGTTCGCGAGGCCAGGTCGGCAAGCGGCGGGTGCCTCCTTTCTGGCGTGTCGGTGGATCGTCGATTCGCCGCTTTATCGATGGAAGGTCCGAACGGAATGAATGTTCGTTCATTTCGTCCTGCGGCTTCGCTTCTGCAGGTTCGTAGCTGGCCGTTGGCATAGGAAAGTGATATTGCGTTGTGTCACTTCTTGTTGGAGACCGTGATGGACTCGATGGTAGATTGTCAGATTCGAAATGCAACCGTGAAAGATTCATGAGCCCGTGAGTGGTTTTCAAGGTCTTTCGTTTTTCTTTAAAGGAAAGGTCCAAGGAAAGGAAAGGTCAAACGCTAAAAGCCCGAGAACCGATTTTCCTCGGAACTGGGCTTCCACTTCGTCCCAAACAGGAGAAGTTGCAAAGAATGATGGAGTGGTCCTTTTAGCTGCGAGACTCGATTATCGCCACAATCAAATTGAGGTTGCTTGCGCGCAAGATGCGAGAGATTGGTCGTATTCCCAGAAATTGGAATTTTTCTTCCTTTCAGGGCAGCTACTTTTGCATATTCCGGATGGGTATTGCATTCGTTGCGAGATAAATTCTAATCGCATTTCGCATTACAGACTTTCCACGAGCGTGAGGTATGAGTTTCCAGTTCTTTTCCATCCACAAAAATTTGCCGTGGTTTCATCATTCTCAGGGGCTAACTGAATCCGAGTGCTGATTTCCATCATTTCGCTTCAAGGAAATTTTCCAGGAAAAGAAAGCATCGGGGAGGATTGCAGACCTCAGATTATGCACTAACTCCCTCCCTCATCTCATCAGATTTTGTCAAAGCCGACAATCAATCCTTACATCGTCCTATCCCGTTATGTTAATGGAGCGGTTCGTGTGCTCTGTTTCCCCTCTCCCGCGACGATAGAGGAGTAAAAAAATTTATTATTTCCAAAATTTAAATATCGCAATATGCAAACATATCGCCGGTAAGACAAACATCGAACGATATCGCGATATCGCGATAATCTGCACAGCCCTATTATTAACATGGGACTGTGGATGTTTACTTTTTTTTTTAAAGGAGGTCGTTCAACCTCGCAATTTTTTTTTACGTCAGCCACCGTAATAATCGGAAAGTGTTTCTTTTGAACCGTCGAGTTATGAGTTTCCATGAACCGCTATGAGTCGTTACGTATCCTTCGACTTTCTCCTTACATTTTTTGGCTTCTTGCCTCGGAAGTCGTCGATGCTTTTGGAATACACTTCTCTCATGCCCAAAAGGGGACCTCGCGATTTTAACCAGGGGGGTCTTTTCGTAGAAAGTCGTTTGCCAGGCAGGGC